ATACACAAAATAAACCAATGTAGTAATTGCATTATCCCATACGTGATTTTTCTTTCTATTTATATAGTAGTAATCAAAGTGATCTCAGCTTCTTAGATCAATGGCCCTTTACTGTCTCTGATAGCTTTAAAACGTGCAGCCAATATATCGTAGTCAGGCAGTTTTGGGTGAGCATGGTGACCGCTTGAGTCCCGTCTTGATTCATTAGACTGAGGAGCTTGAGGCGGTGCTCGGTTTGGCGGGAGAGAAAAAGCACGAGTCTGTGATGGTCTTTCCTCTGGCTCTGTCTCGTCCTCGTAGTAGTCTGATTCATCAAACTTGATCTCAGATGTTGCAGGAGGAGGAGGAAGTGATGGAGAGTTGTAGCTGTGTCTCCTCCTCATTGTTGTTTCTTTTGCTTCAGTTTCGGTGTAGTCTTCTTCCTCGTGGTCAGATTTGTGTATAGATGGATTGTTGTAGCTGTGTCTTCTTCCGGTTCCTCTGTTTTCTGAAGCAGGTTTTGCGTAGTAGGAGCTTGTTTCAGAATCTCCGGATTGTTTTCTTGAACCTGGATGATATTGATCCTTCTGGTTTGTTGAATGATCGTAAGACGAGGAGGAAACAGAGAACTCCTTGGTGGAGTCTCTTCTGGTAGCTAATAAGGCAGCTACCTGTGCTGCTGCAACCGCCTGTTTGGCTAATTCCCCTGCTGCTTCAGCTGCTGACTCGGTGTCATGATAATGCGTGTTGATGCTCGTGCTACTACTCGATCTGTGATGAATAAAACCATCCGTCTACCTCATTTTTGCGTCTTTATTTGGACATTTGTTGAAGCACAAGGTGGGATGTATGTACATACCTCGGCACTGCTTTCGTAGGATCAATGGACTCGTGAGCTGCACGATTAACAGGTAAGCTTGAGGCACTGACAAACGCTCGTGGTCCACCCTGCTCATACAGAACCCGCGATTTAAGATTCTGATTCTACGGGAGAAAAGAAGGAGTTGAGAGGGAGATTAAGAAGGCACATACTATGGTTTCTTCTTGAGGTTTGAGAAGTTCTTGCTCTGTCTCTGTCGTGTCCCAATCAACCTGGAATTCCTTTGCAATTTCCTTCAGGATTTTCAGTTTGAATTCTCCACCGGGATGTCTAACCGAAAGCTTATCAACTAACTACAAACACACAAGAAAAAACAAGTTCAAGATTTCATGTTGCATCTTTATATAAATCATGGCTCGAATTAACTAATCAGAAACATGAATATCAGTTTGAATTCTCCACCGGGATGCCTAACCGAAAGCTAATCATCTAACTACAAACACACAGGAGAACAAAACCAAGCTCAAGATTTTATGTTGGTTTATCTGACTACGAATCACGACTCGAGTTAAACTAATCAGAAGGATGAAAATATTAGTTTACCATCCGGTTCACGCCGCAGGTGGGACGCAAATCAGTAGCAGCAGATACAAAATCTTTTCCATATTTCTTCACAAAAATGTCTCTAAGATCTCCAAGCTCAGGAATTTCAGAGCACCTAGGCGCAGCGAAAATCAAACTAGCAATACCTTCCTTAAGATCCGCAGGGCATTCCCTAAAACAAGTAAAAGAAAACCAAACACATATAAGAACCCAAATTGAAAGCCAGTAAAGACACAATTGAAACTGACATGACATGAACATACTTTTGCTTGGTGATGATAGTGAGTCGTGAAACGATAAGTTCGCAGAAAAGCTCGATGATTTCGTTAGCTGCTAGAGTATTCTGTTCCCTAATCACATGCTCAACCTGAATCATCACAAGGCAAAATCTTCATTGAATTGAATTTGCTTATGCTAAAGAAACTTTAAAAAGTGAAGCAGAGAAAGTGAATATACTCTGATTCGAGCAGTAGCATCTTGACCGGATTGAAGAAGAACCGCAATGTCACGTCTCATTTGCTTCACCACAACTTGTCTCTTGTTCCTTAGAAGCTTTATCCGAGCCACAGCCATCTTCGCCGCCGTTTTGCTTTAATCCAATCAAATACCCAAAAAACATCATCAGATAATTACTCATAGAAAATCCCAGATCGGAAATTTCTCAAAGGTCTTCCTTTTAAGCTAAGAAACTGAGAATGCCCAGATCGATTCTCGAGAAAAGAAGAATCATACACTAAAAAAAATCCTAACTTTACCCAAATCGAACCTTGAGAAAATCTCGAGTACTTGATCGATAACAGATTCTTAACCAAAAAATTCATCAGATTCTATAATCATAGAGACCTCGAGAAAAAACCCAGAATCTGAAATTTCTCAACCACACCAATATTCTTCATTCCCGACACAAGAAGTATCAATACACTGATAAAAACCCTAACTTTTTTCACGTTTTTACCCAAATCGAACCAGATTGAGAGAATTTAGGAAATCTAAAAAGCATTAAACAATCAGAATGTGTACCATTTAGAGGAGTTAAAGCCACGACGGAAGAGAGAAAGACTAAACTTCAGAAGCTTCTTGGTCTGCGCAGAAGCTATTCCGGCCGCCGTCATTTTTCTCTCCGCCGCGTCTCTGACAC